AAAAGTTATAAATTTATCTGGTAGTTTAGGACAGTTTAGATGATATTCACAATACAGATAGTCATGACCTGCTATAAAGGGAGATGTTGACTTATGAAAGGTACCTAATTTACTAATATTGTCTACTAGGATTACATCCAGCCATGAATCGCCATGTCCACTGTGATGCGTAGTATTATAAAGTATACAATATAGGGATGATTCATAAATGAATGTCTTTAGATGATTTGCTGTCCAAGTGTTATCTAATAGATTACAGTTTAGGTCTCCTGCTATAATTACATTTGTAAAATTTGTTGAATATTTCATGAAGGTATTGAAAAATTCATGCAGCGTATGGCCATTTGGACGTCTGTAGACACCAGCTAGTAACATATGCGAACCACAGGTCAACATAACATCTAACATTATATATTCAGGTGAATTTATGTCATCAGAGACAGAAGAGTACAGTAATTTAGCTTTAATTGTTTTATGGATGTAGCAAGCTACACCCCCACCCTGTACATAACGACCCGTGGCTGGATGTATCAGATTTATGTCTCTTCTAAATAAAGAATAATCGTTAAAAGTGAGTAGATCATTATTAATGCTAGGTTTTAGCCAGGTTTCCACTAAAACAATGATAGGAGGATTTTTTTCAACAATTTGCTGAGTTAATTGAGATATATGGCCAACAATACTATTTATATTAAAACTTAATACCCTTAGAGACGTAAATTTATCATTGGTAACATTTATTAAATCTTTTTTATGTTAATCTAAATTTTCTAAATCTAAATCAGATCTGATAATAATACGTTCAACTTCATCAGTTTTCCTTACAAAAATTAAACCATTTCGTACCCAAACATATTTGTAATTTAGAGATTTTGCTTTAGCTTTAGTCTTGAGAAGTAATTTATAAGTATCGGAATTTAGAAATTCATTAACGTGAATCAGACCTCTGAATGTTTTCTCAACCAAAGTTGGGAAAACATCCTTTGTATTTACTGTTTTTAAATGTTTTTTGGCACTAATTATGAAATCGCGAACTTCAGTAGATTTTAATTTTATTAAGTAAGAAGAATTTTTATTCTGGGGCTTATCATTCGCACTATTTGGTTTATTATTATTTTCGAATTTGCGGATTGATAAAATATCACTTTTTAAATTATGAACCTTCAGTGTATTAAAGACAGTTTCGGTGATATCCAATGGAGATAAGCTAACAGTCTTGAGCTTTGATAGTTCATCAATAAACAGCTTTGAATCAGCTGCTGTTTTTGACTTATGTGTATTTAATTCTTCTCTGAGTTCCGAGATACTGGCAGTATTTGAAGAAACATTTAGCTGCAGTGAATCCAATCGTTTATCGATCAAGTCTAATTTCTCAGTCATCAAATGATTAGAAGTAAGAAAAAAGTTCATCATCGAAGTTAGTTTTTCATCCGTATTTTGTGTCTCCCAGTTTTCTGGAAGACTTTGGAGAGCTGCCTTAGACACTATTGAATCTAAGGACATGTTTGAATCAGTGAGAGCGATTGATAGAGTAGACTGCGTTATCGGTGATTGTAGCGGTGAAGTAACAGATTTAGTACTAGATGTAGATGAACTTCTAGTGAGATGCTTATTTTTCAATCCTGAATCTTTGCCTTTAGTTGTTGAGGTCTTTGCGGTATTGGTTCCTAGATGTAATGTGAGAGGAGATTTCAGACTTGTTGATGAAGTTTTTTGTGTATTTGCTTATTTGTTGGTGACTGCTTTATTACTAGCTGGAGAAATTATTTGGTTTTTTGTTTGTTTATCGAAGATTGACTTGCTACGAGTCTTTATCTCACCAGTAGTCAATAAATGTTTGAGATTTGTAGCACAACAGTGATATAATGACTTGATTTTCATACAATTTCGCAAACAGTCTAAGTGATAAATCCGTTGACAAGAAGGACAAACAGCTGGAGTATTTGTTGGTTTTTTACAAGCAATACATAAGTCCGACATCAGTGATATAATAAGATGATACTATTACTAAGTGTATTTAAAGTTTGTATAGGTAATAAACAGACGCAGCTCAGAGTAAACAAAGTTTCTATAGCAATAAGCTGTATAGTAATAAGCTGTGCCTGAGCACACATATGCCAGTCACTGTGCCCGTAATTCAAATTGAGTTTATACACTACACATACACATACACTATTTTATGTGACTCGATGTACGCCTGCGTAAACACTAGATTGCGCGTGGAATACTGCGCGGGTGAACAAGTAGAATTTCACAGCCTAACCTTCAAAGTTTATCCACTAATAAAATCGAACTTATTAAATTACTTTGAGATTTATCAGATATTCAACCAATTACAAATTACAACCCATGTTGTTACACTAGGAATGAGGTGATAGTACAAATTTAACACTTAAAGTTAATCAAGAAATTTTATGAAAATAGACAGAGCCACAATACAGTACGTGTGTACACCTATCACTCATATATTTGTATGAATTCCAGCTGACTTTCATGATGAATTACGAAATATTATTTTGCGTATTGTGTTCTTCTACTCCAAAAAATTTATCCGAATAGGCGTTATAGAATTGCAAATAATGAGTCAGTGTAAATAAAAATAAAAATTCCAATATAACTGTCTCCGAATATTATTTCACAAATTAAAATAATTAAGTTTCATATACTATTTGTTTCAAATTCATCATAAAATTCATCTGGAATTCCAGCTGACTTTCATGATGAATTACGAAATATTATTTTGCGTATTGTGTTCTTCTACTCCAAAAAATTTATCCAGATAGAAGTTTAAGAATCGTAAATAATGAGTCAGCGTAAGTTAAACTAAAAATTCTAATATAACTGTCTCCAAATATTTTTACACTGATTAAAAAAATTAAGTTTTATGTGCGATTTGTTTCAAATTCATCATGAAGTTCATCTGGAATTCCAGCTGACTTTCATGATGAAATTCATATTTGTTTCACAATCTGAAGTTCATCCGGAAATTCATCCGGAACCAAAATTTTTTTTGTACGGGAAGTGATAAATGTTTATTTCATAAATTATTAGTACATCATTTTTTACTAAGTACAGTAAATGTCGGTTAAATTTTTTTTCTTACAACGCCGGTTGAAAGTACGGGGTTCCCGCTGCGATTTCACGACAGAAAGCCTCACTTTTATGCCGTGGTCGAGTCGCGCAGGCGCTCTACGACGGGGAGCCGAAAAAATGTATTCATGCACTGACAACGAGACACGAGGCGGCAGAAAGTCTGAAAATCGGTAGTCACGCTCACTCTATTATTTATGTATACAAGCCAAACCTTACTTGTGATTGTTATGAATGATGCATCTGTTTTGTTATGTGTCTGTTTATGTATTTATTTTAATTAATGAAATGAGACTTGATAAATATTTAAATTACAAAAAAAAAAAACGAGAAATATTTTTTATTCTGATAGATATTCTCATATAAATAAATTCATTATTGAACATGTAATTATTTGAAAAAATACACAAACAGATTTTTTTCTTAATTTTTTTTTCTATGCATTTTACGATTATTATTTCATTATTCTTTTTCTTTTTTATTCTTAAAATCAGAGTTAATTTATGATATATCTATAACTTTAAATTTATTTAATTAAATTAAGATCTTTTCTCAAAAAAAAAAGTATTAATATGATAGATTATATATTAATATCTTAATTGAAGGGTGTATTTGATGCCTGCCCCCTCCCCCCCACCAGCAGCATTCGCTTCGCTCGTGCCGCAAATGTCGGGCGCAGGCATCAATGTTTTTCAATGCAATTTTTTGCCTCGCCTCGGCCATCACGGCACGCAGTGCTGGGATCTCACCTTTCTGCCCTTGTAGTGTAATATACTATAATAAAGTTTCATTGACTAATAATTTTATTATTATAAATGATAAAACCTCAAAACTGAAGACTTTAAAGTCAAATATTTCATTTGAGTGAAATTCCTCTACTTATTGTTATTTAATTAATGTTAATAATAATCGTAATAATATTACTGTAAAAATCACAACTGAAGTACTTTCTCATCTGTAATGCATTGCGCACTTATTTTGTTTTCAATAGTTATATAGTACTGGTAAACAATAATTTCTTTTATATTTATTTTTAATTACTTCACATTGTATATTAAAGTTAGCAAAACATTTAAAGAAGTAATTAACGTATAGATTATCTTAATAAGAACCAGATAAAAATAATAAAACTATTTAAATACAACGAATCCGTTTCAGCCCCAATTAGGACAACTATTAATAACAAAATTCAATTAAACTTTGTTAACTCTACGTAAGTCTGCCGTCTTCAACAATCAATCTCTCCTTCTATCTCGAACTACATCAATCTAACACTTATTATGTTAATAACTCTGCCAAAATAGGAATTATCAATTTAAATGAAATTTTTTATTAAATTATATTCTTTACTTATTCTAAGAAACTGTTTATAAACTTAAATTAATTATTTCAGATGCTAGTAAAATAAGGAAGATAACTGTTTAATGAGCTTAGAATTGCTTTCTCCACTTAATGTTTATTAATTAAAATTTTTAGAAAAGTATGCAGTTACACTACTTTTATACGAAGATCCTTTGAACAAAATAAGTAAATTCTTACCGAGGTTTGTACCAAAGAAAAAGGAAAGCTCAAAATTTAATTTACATTTAATTAAGATCAAGAAAATTCGTTTGTATTTATATTTTTTCATTTCTCTATACTTATTTTAAGCTTTTTATCAAGGCTATTAAAATTTTGAAACTGACAAAGCTGCCAATTAATTCAAATTTAATTATTATAAAATACTTGCAAATTATCATTTACATCTTGGCTTATTAAAATTGTTTTGCAAAAGAAAAAAATAAATAACTTAAATAAAAACTTACCGCTCGAAAAAAAAACTGCATGTGAGCAGGGTCTGTATCTACAATCAATTTATAGATTTCTTTTTGTCGAATTTCTCTAAGTACTTGTCGATATGTTCCGGCACCTGCCTGACGAATGTACATTTCCGTTCTAGGTGAGGGTGGCGACTTAACAAGATCTTGCAGCTTGAATAGCCCTGATGGAAAACAAAAAAAAATAATAAATATCAGTGTCTTTCATTTATCGTCTCTTAACTTTTTTTGCAAATTACAGGCATTTTTCTCAATTCTGTATAATATGTATGGGCTATAATAATTTATACGTAATTATATTGTCAGTGTTCATTATAGTAATTTTCATAACAAGCTGAACGTTTATTATATGTATAATAAATAATGTATTACAAATTTGTATAAAGCTTTTCTCTAGAGAGGTAAGCTTGTTTGAAGTTAGCTTCATAACGAACTCATCATAAATCACGTTATCTTGACAAGTATTATGAAACATGAGAAGTTGCCTTATTATAATCAACGAAAAATTGCGCCTGTTATAATTATTTTCACTATCGTGTCAATAAACTTAATATGTTATGAAAACAAACCCCGCTATGTGTGTGTGTAATTTTTTTAACAACAAAGCTTGGTTTAATGTTCAAAATTGGTTAAAGATTGATCAGGAGAGCTTTACTAGAAAATCCTTTCTTATCCAGCGTGTTCAATACACATCGGTGCTTTTTACTATTACTTGTTTCGATCAACAGCGTGAATCTAATCTATTCTCTAAATCTGAAATAGTAGAAATCACTGAAAAATAGTGTATGTACACTAATTTTACAGCTATAAGTATACCATTTGGTAGTATATTTATAGCTACGAAACAGTGAATAGTCAATGTTTCAGATTTAGAGAGCAAATAAAATTTTTTGTTTTTATCAATTTTAAAAATAAGTGCTAGTATATTTCTGTATCTAGTCAATAAAATGATGCAGTATTGATGCGATTTACTCGAGCTTGAAATAAATTTAAAATAGGGGTGTGCGAATCTTGTTCGAATTGGATAGAAAGATTCCCCGTCATAATAATCAGAATATCTTTTTAGGACCTCAAAACATGGAGTTATGATGGAAACTCGATTTTTTAAAAACGGCGTAAAACTAAACCTAAAAACTTTTTGATTTTTTTAAATCATTGATTACTCTAGTGGGTAGTTAAAAAAACAGGTACTATCGAATGAAAAACGAACAAAGTTGGTATAAATCAATTAACTAACTTTTCTCCTCTTGCGCTAAAAAAAACACAATAGCAACTTTATGTAATTAAACAAAAAGCAAAAATTTATTAAAAAAACATTGATTTGAAGGTTAATATTTTAAAAACGTAGGGAAAAAAAGTGATGTTAAAATCGCATCAGGTGATACAAAAACTGTACCGTTGCTTTCTGCTCTGCATGGATTTGATTACAATTGGCGCGACTCGAAAGGGGTTGGAATACAATTTGGACTGATTCGGACGGGTAGATTTTAAGAAATCTCAAAAAAACTACGAAAAAAAATTTTTTCAAATGTGGTTTTTTTGGAATAACTTTCAAACGGCTCTACCGATTGATTCTGAAAACTAATCAGCTTTTAACATAAAAAAACGACGTCAATCGCCGACGGGCCGGTTGAAATCGGTTGATTCGTTCGTGAGTTATCGTTGACAAAGAAATTCGGAAAAAGTGAATTTTTTCAAATTTCTTCAAAATTTTCGGTCTGATCAAATTGTGTTTAAAAGTAAATCATAGGATTCGAAAAATTGCCTCAAATGCTACCAACCCCGTAAAAATCGGTTTATTCATTCAAAAGTATATAATTGCAGTTTGAAAATTTAACGAATGGTGTGTTATTAAACTTTCATCAAACTTTTGAGCTCGAAGAGCTCAAAAGCATAAAACAGCTAACTCTTTGAGCTTAAAGAGCTAAAAATAATACTTAAATTATATTTTTGAGCTTGGAGAGCTCAAAAACATCATAAGTGCAATTTTATGCGCTTAGGTACGGAATTATAGCGGGAAGTTACAGGGATGGCCTTTAGGGTCAACCGTTTTCTTAATTTTTTTTTACTATATAATCGTAAGAATGCGATGAATTCAGGTTGACACCGTGAGTTATTAAATTGAAAAATTACGAAGCCCATATTTTTTTGTTTTATTTTATATTGTCTAGTCTTCCAATTAGTAGAGCGATGCAATAATCTACTATACCCGCAGCAAACTGTGTGACTATGTGATAAAAAGTGAGTATAAAAGGTTGACAAGCTTGAAATATATAGTAAAGTGAAAAAAGCTAGAAAAGGAAGTAAAGAGAGTAAACAGACTTTGAATTTGTTCCATGACTTTGAGTTAGAGTTCACCAACCAGACATTAAATTCATGATGTTCTTTTCTTTGTTTTTATAGACTATACATTTGTCTATTGAATGTCGGGGCTTATTGAAACACCGTTTTCTAGATAAAACAAGTTTTTATCTAGGAATGTCTATTTTCATGTTCGAAAAATGATGAAACAAGCTGATTCAAATTTCAAACGAATAACACTTTTATACTTATTTACATCAAGCCTTTTTTTTAATGCTGAATTTTATATTACTATCAGGTTATAATTTCTTAAATAAAATTTTGAATGCACGGAAATTAGAAAAATACGGAAATTACATTTTATGTTGCACCGTGTAAAAATTGAATTTTTAAAATTCAATTCTTACAAAATAGATAAAAATTATAGTTTTAATTTTTTCAGTTTTTTTTTTGTATGAGGCGCCACGTAACAATTACATTATAAGATGTAATTTTTTTATTTTTATTTTTTCCCTGTGTTTAAGTTCAATATTCCCAAAAACTTACTTTCATTTAATTCTACTCTTACTTTCCACATTCAGAATAAGTTTTAAAATCATTTCGAATTTAGACAGAAAAGTAAAGCTTCCATACCTAAAAAGAATCGAATGAAATTAAAAAAAAAATCCTTGTTTACGTTATAAAACAGTCGTGAGATGAATAAATACACGAAACAGTAAAAGCTCAAAACATAACATTCACATATATGCAATCTTGATAAAATAGAGATTTACTTGTACATAGAAAGAATTCAAAAGTTACGAGAAAAAAGTATTCAAGATACGGCCAGCAATCATAAATATAAAAGGTATGACAGATGTAAACCTAAAAAAAAGAGACGAATAAATAGATTTTCAGATCACAATCCGGAAAGACACGGTAGCGCTTAAGATGAAAAATTACAGTGCATCATAAATTCGATTATCTTTACTTACATTTCATAATAAATTTTTGTGTATGATCAAAACTATGCAAATTGAATTAAATAAATTTGGAAAATTTGAATAATCAATATTTGAAAGTTCAAAAAATTTCTAATTTCATTAAACGATTTTTTCTTTTGAAAATTATAAGATAGAATATTATCGCTCAATGATGTCGAAATATTTGGGTAAACATGTAAGTTATTATTTGTATAGTCAATAATATTTATGATTTCCATTAAAGTATCAAAGATACCCTTCTATTGAATTTTCAGCACGTGTAACCATAGATTTTATCTAGCTAGCTAAATCCTGCTAACATCAATAGGTGAAATTTAGTATTCAGAAAGCATATTGAAACATTAACTATAGGATGAATTGGAAACTTTAATCAAAACATACCGTAATTTTCCTCATAGATTATGGCAACTTTGGTCCAGTTTAGAAAAGACATTAAATCTTTGAATGCTTTATTCAGATGGTCTTGGGCTGGATACAGATTAATACTGAACTCTTTGAATGCAGGTTCGAAGTCCATTCTAGCTTCGAGATGTGGTACATCTAAGGCTTCACAAATACTTTGAATATGCGCTCCTAATAGAGGATCTGATGGTCCGAATATTCCTTGAACAGATCGAGATAATTGCTTGCACGCTGTAATCAAAAACATCATCAACATTAGTCAGAACAAAATTTAATATATGTTTGATTTTTTTTTCTTACTTGAAAAAATACTTTATTAAAAACCTCCAATGAGGGTGGTGCAAAGAAAAGTTGTGTCAGCAAGAAATTATATGAGAGCAAAGAATTTGTGGATTTTCACTAAAGCATTTCTTCTACATTTACTCTAGGATACTTTCTCCTTTCAATAGCCTAATACCGCTTTGACCGAGAATTTGATCAAAGGATAAATAAGCTTGTACGACAGCTCTTTTACAAAAATACCGCCTGTTTGCGATTAAAATTTTTTAATTAGTTATATCTATACATGAATAAATGGGTACATAGTATATTATGTAACTTTTTTCAGCTATCTCCGCTTCAAAAGTATTTAAAGGAGCTTGATATTTAATACTTTGTCATTTTAAATACTACCTCTTATAGGTGTTCAGTACATGAAAATCATTTTTAGTACTGTTATTTTTTAGGGTTTATTGTCATCGTTTATTATGGTTAAAAACTTGAAACTATGAAAAATAATAAATAAGAAGAAAATATCTTCCTGGTTAAAGAAATAATTCTGTTATTGTGAAAAGATAGTATACTGTTTATTTTTCCAGTTATTGAAAAAGATCCAATAATTTCGTAATAAACAATTTAGTATGACCCACACTAACAATATCTTTTAATCGCATATCCTAAATGTTATTTATTTTAGGAGCCAAAAATAAAAATAGTAAATGAAAAGATATAAAAAAAATAATAATAATAAACTAACTTGATTTACAAACGACATTTGGCAAAAGTACACCATTATTGCAAGTACACCCTTGTTGACGTTTTGGAGCTCATCATCCGGCTAAGGGGAGTAAAATCGTTTCAGTATAGTGATTAGACCAGTTTTATATATATATATATATATATATATATATATCTATATAAAGTATTCTTTTAGGAAGTATTTTTGTATTTTTACTACTTACATGAGAATAAAATTTTACTATCACCGGATTAATTTGATTCCCGAGTTCAAAATAAGAAATTAAATTATTTCTGTCGTACTTGGATTAGTAGTTATGTGTTATAATGTTATTAATTCCTGGAAACATATTTACAGAGCAATTATTAAAATGAAGAAGATTGTATTCACATGTAAAAATAATGTGAAAGAACACGTAAGATAAATCACGAGTTAGAGACTGAATTATCAAAAAAATTGAAACTCGTTTTTCAGTGGTTTTGAGGTTTTTTTACAGATAAATTTTGAAAATTGATAATTCTGCATATATAATTATATATGACTATATATAGAGCAATGTACAGCCAAGCAAGATTATATATAATCATATATAGTTATATATAATCATACATGATTATATATGAAATTGTATATGAGGTTATTTATAATCATATACAATTATATATGACTATATATAGAGCAATGTACAGCCAAGCAAGATTATATATAATCATATATAATTATATAGAATTATATATAATCATATATAATTACATATAATCATACATGATTATATATGAAATTGTATATGAGGTTATTTATAATCATATACAATTATATATGACTATATATAGAGCAACATACAGCCAAGCAAGATTATATATAATCATACATAATTATATATAATCATACATGATTATATATCGAATTGTATATGAGGTTATATATAATCATATATAATTATACATAACTATAAATGGAGCTATACACAGCCATGCAAGATTATATATAATCATACATGATTATATATCGAATTGTATATGAGGTTATATATAATCATATATAATTATACATAACTATAAATGGAGCTATACACAGCCATGCAAGATTATATATAATCATACATGATTATAAATGGAA